CTCTCGGGAGGGTTGGTGGGGTGAGGTTCTCGGAGGTTTCCCGGTGTAACTCCTGCACGGGCAACACAAGTGAGCGAGCCCTTCCCACCTTAGTTAGCCCTACCGTTCGTTAATGAAGGGGTAATAACCGAGGGCACATGACCGTGGCCGGAGCGGACAGCGATGGCTCCAACAGCACCCGGCAAGAGGTGTAGGGGCTCACGGCGGGTGCTCCGAACCCCGTGCTTGCCAAACCCGCGGTAGACCCACGGCTGCAGGCTGGTTTTTTGGCTGGGCCTCTGCCTCCCCGGGTTGGGGGAACTCAGACTCTGCACTGCAAAGGGGGACCCTGGCGAGCTTTGCCTTTTTGCTGGGTTGTTTACACGGAAGAAATAGCAATAAACGCGCTGACTTGGAATTTACCTAGAGCGGTAGACCACCAGCAGTGCCTAGGGGCTGGTGGATGGGAGGGATAGAACAAGTTTACTGAGTACCGGTGCACTGGAAGAGACACACCATTATTGCTGAATAAAGCACACTAACAGATGAAGACTAGGAAAGGTAGGACACTTTTGGCCCAAAAGTGCAGGCAGGACCTACACTAAAGCTATGCCTAAGTTTGGTCAGCCGAAGACACCCCTAGACTTTATTCACTGTATTTATTCTGTTCCGGCGTTTGGACCGATTCCCGTGACTATAATGGATGCTAGAGACGTAACGTACTTGCGGACACCATAGGAATTGTATCAGGAGCTGATTCACATCCCAAGCATCTGCTTCTGAACCTGAATCCAAACTATATGTTTGGAAAAAGATAGTATGGTCCAGGAAGCAATATGGCTTGAAACAAAAGGCCAGAGCTGAAATTCTCCAAAATGTGGCAGTGTGATCTGCTCAAGGGTCCTTAACTGTGGAGAGGCATGTGCTAAGACTGTGAAGCCAGAGACTGGCTCTATTTCTTTTCTCTGGTGCTGACTGGTTTGTGCTTTGGTTCATCGCAGGCCTTTTTTTTTTTTTTTATGGAGGAGGGATCCACCGTGTGGCAAATGCTGTCTGTGCAATCTGGGAGCGGAGTATTAGCTATGCAGACGGTCAGCTCCTACCTGGCATCTCCTTTCCAGGAGGGTGGCTCACAGCGTGTCACCAGCAGGTGACAGTCCAGTCCGTCCAGTTTAACACACTGGCTCTGCTCAAAATGCTGCCATGGCTGCTGACTTCATGGAGGAACTGGAGCTGAGACGTGTCTGTGGTCAGGCATTTTGAACTGCAAATTATCACCCCTGGTGATCTTCAAAAGACCCCCAAAGTGGCCTTTGTTTCCTGTGTTTTACAAGAGGCCCTTTGACCTCTGTGTACACAGGATTTCTGACTCTGGGCACTGCTGCAGTACAGATGACACAGCTGGCTGCTCCACCATCCTCTACCTAATCTGATCAATTAAAAACTCACAGTTTTACCTGCCTGTTTACTGTTACTGGGTCTCTGTCCTTCCATTCTGCTCCTGACATGGAAGCAATGGGCTCTGGAGATTAGTGGTCCGGTCTCACTCTTGCAGTGCATTAGCCTGTGAATTAGATGCATTGCAGATACGCAGCCAGGGAATTTGGGGGAGAAATACCTGGCAGCTGGTTCCTTGTGGGTCCCATGTGGGGCACAATATTCCTTATGTCACTGTGTACATTTGCCAGGGGCTCAGCTTGCCTTCGGCTATGGGAAAGCCAGACACTTCCTCTGAGATAGGTGTCCACAGCCCACAGGGACAGGGTGTGTTTGAGAGCCTGCAGCTCCTGCCCTCTACATCAGAAGAGAAGCAACGCTTCTCTTTGCTAAAGCAAGGCTTTAGCAAAACACCTTTCCCCATGTAGACACGGGGGAACACAGTTCTGTGTCTCAGCTAGAGTAGACATATCACAGCTCAGAAGCTGCCAGAAAACCTGAGATTTAGGAGTTGGGCCCGAGTTGCTGACTTCTCTGTAGGTATCTTTTTATTGCTTCTTTAGAAGACTTGAAGGAAATGTCTCCAAATTCCTTAGGGCCACCTGTACTCAGTGGCTATGAAAGCAACCCTGGCTAAGGATAGCAAAGCTACAAAAGAGGTAGAGCCTTGTCTAGGCAGCAGATAAAGAAGATAGCTTTAATATTATCAATTTAAATTATTCTTTGATTTAAGCAAAGTGTTCCTGACTTTTTATGCTGTCAGTGGTAGTTGGATTTTTTGGGGGTGGCTTTTTTTTTTTTTTCAGTAGAAGAAAGCCCTGGTACAGAAAAGTGATGAAAAGAGAGTAGCAGAAACACAGAGCTTTTTTTGCGTGTTTGCTTGCCCACATTTGCCTGTGCATCAGCATTTGGATGTATGTAGGATAGTTAATTCTCCTCTTCCTTCTAACTTTTGTTCATTAGGTGAATGCAAAAGTTGTGGTGAAACCACAGAGAATGGTTGAAACAGACATTCAAATGCTATGTAAATGTTATTTACTGGAGTGCAGAACAGGGCTGAAGACTGGCATTGCAGAGACTGAGAAACCATTGGTGCTTACAGTTGACAGCACCTGCTCTGTGCCACATTGCCATCATGAGCATAGACTCGGCTTACGTATCTGCTCTTCTGCTGCCTCTGCAGAGGACATCGGCAAGTGGGCAAGGGTCCTGCATCCACTTTCACCCTGACACGGTCAGTGCTTTAGAGCAAGGACGATCTTCTGCCTTTGCAAAGTGCCTGGAGCAGCAGTCCCCCCATCTGGAAGGAGCACTGCCAGCAGCCAGCACTGCAGAGTCAGCAGCTCCAGGTGTGAAGAGATTCCCTGCTTTCTTCATGGCTGTATTGCAAACCTGAATGTTTACACCCTCAGTATTTCTTGGTAAGCATGTAGTGAATGGGAGTCAAAATGAACAAAGGGATATCATCAGCCTTCACTTTCTGTTCCTAATGAAACCCAGCAATAATAATTTGATTACTGTCATGGTTTCAAAGTATTTCAAATACCATGCTATATATAAACTAACTCCTGACTGGATTTGGAGCTCCATCTTCAATGTTGGAAGTGTTAGCACCAAGCTCAGATGTGCGTGGAGAAGTCAGAACCCTAGCCAGGCAGAAGGATTCATCTGTGTTCTCTGGTGGGGAGTGATCCAACCCAAAATCTCTGTTGAAAAGTCAGCAGATAAGCTGTGACTAGAGAAAGGAGAATAAAGTCACAGCTACATCTTAGTGGTTCTCACATGAAATGTAAGACAGTGAGGCTCTGTTCTGCTCTGCTCCCACTTTATAAGGCCAAATGCATCCTCTGCTAAGTCAATATGACTTTTTGCCCTTGACTTCAATGGGGTCAGGGCATCTCTCATGGTACGATTTATTGGGATATCACTAGCATCCTGTGAGAGAAATTTAGTAACAAGCCAATCACACTTGAGAGTCCACTCTGTAATCAGAGTAGGGCTGTTAAACAGTAGCTGGTTTTGTGGGTATGGTTTTCCCAAATGATAATCAGTTTGTAATTAACTAAACCAAATTTAAATTTTTTCTCAGACTGATTGTTGTGCCCACTTCAGAAGGAGTGGGGAGTCTCCCACTGCGTTTATCACCCTTACAGTGCTGTAGAGAGGGTAATCTCTCATTACCCTCCAAAGAATTCCTCATGATATTTTCAGGTCTAAAACTGCATTCAGTACCTCTGGCATGGTGTAAGGCTGGTTTGAAGAGCCTCGTGGGGTGGGAAAGCCAGATGTGCATGTGGAGGAGCAGATGGTGTGGGTGTGGAGACCTGCTGAGTCAGGAGAGTCGAGGTGCAGGTGTGTCTGTCCTGTACACACACCCCTGTCTGCGACACCAGGGAGCTGGCGCCGGGGCATGTCAGATTCGTGGTATTACACTGGTAAAGGGAAATTTATGTGCAAAACCCTGCGGGTTGTTTTTTTTTTTTAAATTTATTCTGTTATTGTTCTATTGTTCTACAAGATTAACATAAGGAAAAAAAAGAGTGTCTGTTCCAGGTCAGATCGAAAGTTCACCGAGCCTACTAACTGCAGTGTCTAAATAGCACTCGCCAGCAGCTGTCCGGCGAACTGCAGGACAAGTGATAGTAGCGATATTTCCTCTGAGCACTGCCCTCGTCTCCAGCCTTTTTTAGATCGTGGCCCGCAGAGCGAAGTCTCTAAGGCGGTCCTGTGATTCTACAGAGTTCCAGTAGATGGTGGGGTGGGATCAGCACTTGGCTCTTTGCACCGGCACAAGCCGCTCTTAAGTAGAGACACTTACTTTGTTGTTCTATTAATCCCTTTTCAGCGAAGGAAGAAAAGTTCATTTGTGGAAAACTGGTAATCTCTGACATTATGCAGTGCATTAAGAGTGCTTGCAAATTAATGAAGTCCCATTCCAGATATGAAATAACAGTACAGAGCATGACTACTCATCCATGAATGGTAAGCTTTGAGAGCCTTGCTGTAAACCTTCGTGATAGTAAATTTGCATTGGTAAAATACAGGAAAAGCTTAACGTGTGTTTTTACCTCTTCGACTCCAAAATGCTCTATCTTAAACAAGAAAAGTTAGTCATTTAAAGGTAGATAGCAAATTACAGGTGGGCTGAAAACCATATGGAGAAGAGTGGATCAAAAAGACAAAACAGACTGACTGGTATATCTCTGTATAGTTAAAAGGCGAAGGAACAAAATCACCCCTTGCAGCACTGAATCAGGAGAAGGCAGCTGCCTCTTCCTCAGTGGATGGGGATGTATACGTTGGGAATCCCAGTCTTGCTGTGCCACTGACTTGCTGGGACAGCTCGGTCAGCTCATCTTTGTACTGGATTTGGAGTAATAATACCCGATGGATA